GATGTTTGGTGCCGGAAAAATCGGAAAAATAAAAATCATAGTTAATCCGTAGCAAATTAGCTACGGATTAACTATAGACTTTTATTATTTTCGAATTTTCGGGCACCAGACGTCGTTTTTTTCCATTTCGTTTTTCCAAACCTCTATTTTACATTATCATCTATATGTTCACCAACGTATAGCTATTAATATTGTTCATAAAGTCATGTTCACATTCGGGATAAGTACTCGTTTCACGTTTTAACATTGTAATGTCTATAATTTCACCAACTTGTTATGGGTTTATGTTCGTATATGTATACTTATTTACATGAATGAGTTATGGTATAAGTGTACGTGCATATGTGTATGTATACGTGTTTGTGAGTATTTGTATGTAAATGTATTAATAAACATTATAGTTTTAAACCATTAAACGAGTAATGGATCCCGTATGTGCACACGACTTTATGAACGATATTAATAGCTATAAGTTGGTGAAAATATAGATAAACATGTATAATAGAGGTGTGAAAAAAACGGTGTCCGAAAAATAGAAAATAAGAAAATTCCATAGCTAATTACTTATGGATTAGCTACGGAATATGCTTTCCGTTAGAATTCCGTAGCTATTCTGTAGGTAATTAGCTACCGATTAGCTACGGGTTTTTTTTTTTTTTTCTATTTTTAGGGCACCAAACATCGTTCTTTTCACACCTCTATTATACATGTTTATCTATATTTTTGTCAAATTATAGATATTAATATCGTTCATAAAATCGTGTGCACCTTCAAGATCAATGTGACATCCCGAAAATCACGGCCAGAAAAGACCGATTTAATTTATGCTTTTTAAGATAATTTTCAGAGTAATCCTTTGATTAAAAGAGTTGCAGAATTTGTTCCCAAAACAAAATATGATAAATAAAATTTCTCAAAGCATTTGTTAAAGAAACGTATTTTCATATATAACAAAACTCAGGATGTCATGTTCCGATACAAACCAAAAGCATAAACGGCACATTATAAGCCTTACAACAGTTATATACAACTATTGGCCTATAAACAAAATATCTTCACAAGTTGTCCAACTTATGCTCTCGCGCCACTAGCTGTAATACAAATAAAACTAAGTGGGTCAGGCTTGGGAGCCTGATGAGCATATGGGGTTTTCAACCAAAAATAAATAATTGTATTTAATTTCACCAACCTACAATAACCCGTTTACCCATTCCCGTTATCCTCACTTTACGTCCATAAAACAACAACTGTCAGAGTGGACCTAGTCTAGGATTTTTCATCGGGATGGACATTACTGCAAAGGGGTTTCCGCAACAGTAGATATCCTAAAGTCAACCATGAGGTGGATAGACTACACCGATAAACACATCGTTCACAAAATCTACATGTTATGAACCTGTCAGCGTTCCACTGGACTGTCTAGAAAGAGTCCGTGGTCGTCATCCATACTCCGCTAGATGACTAGAACAACAACAACATTGAGGTCTCTCATCATTTTTATTTCATCACACGTCACTTTCTACCATGTTCTACCCAACATATTTGTAGATAATATATACTCGTTTATATACAACTTCGAACCTGTATAACATATTCATTCAATACTCATACCACATAACAAATAGTATATAATCACATCGCACGTATATCATAGAGTATAATTCATATATGTGTATTATCAGAAAGTAACTACACACTTACACATATCATATATCTAATACATTCATCAATACATGTATTGAAATCGTGTATATGAAGGGACTATGCACTCACTTGATAAGATGATGCTCGGACAGCACTACGGCTCTTAAAGTAGTATTCTTCGGTGAAGCTGTGATCTCTTCACACACCGGGCTTCTTGCGGGCAAAGCTTCGGCTCGGAAAATATTTTCTTCTCGGGATCTTCGGAGCTTCGGGACTTGCTTCGGGTGTCGGGATGATATCGGGGCTTCGTGGGTACTCCAATACGGTTAGAGAGAGTATCAGGAGTGAGAGAGGGGGACTATTTATAGGGTTGAATATATATTCTTACGTCATGAGCCACAAGTACTCACGTCGTGAGCTCAAATATGTCACTGTGTTCGTCATCAGGCCACTTGGCTTGGAAGATGTCCATCACCTGCTCACGTTGTGAGCTCTGACACAGGGGTTGAAGTTCATGCCCCGAACTTCAGAAATTCATATCTTTTGCATACGAGCTCCGTTTTCGACATTCTTTTTATGCACGTGTAGGTGAGATTATGCTCTATAACTCTCATTTAGACTCATCCGGATATGTTTGACTTTAACTTTTATTATATTATTTTTAGTAGTCCGGGACAGGAAAACTGCATTAGAAATTCATAACTTCCACTAATATGCAACCCTTACAAGAATTTTGAAAGCCCTAAAGTTTTTTTTTCCTAAGTTTACCATATAGTTTATGTTGAAAATCTTCCCTTTTCCTCTTTGTTTCTTTCTTCTTGAATCAGAAAACTCATCACAATCATCTTTTCTTCTTTTCTGTTGTCTATATCACCTCTATCTCGAGCATCACTGGTTGATATCAAGCTTCTCCTGAAACAATGCCTACCCATCTAACATCCGAGAGAGTCTCAATATGGTGGAAACATACATTAACTAAATGAAGTTTTTATAATTTTTTAGAATTCACCACACATGTGCATAAATGTAGGTGTATTAATACAACAAACTAAATTGGACATGGTAATTGTGTCGTGTCATACGGGTTCATGTCATATCGAAATAGTATACGCGTTGAAAGTGTTTGACCCCAACCCAACCTGTTAATTAGCATGTCATGTCGTCTCAACCCATTTATTTTCGTGTTAGGGTATACCTTGAAATATATCGTGCTATTTGAGGTTGAAATAATATACATGTTGAAAGAGTAGGAGTTAGTTATGAGGAAAAGAAAAAGTAATAGCTTGGAGGCATAAAAGATAAAGTCATAACAAGTTCAGATGAAATAATAGAAAGAGTAGGAGTTGTGGAGGCGGAAGATGAGATCATGACAATGGGAGAATGGTCAAAGGGACTCTATAGTTTGGGAGAGAACTAAAAAACTGAAAATAAAATATTGATCTAAACAACTATGGCATTTCCGCATTACATAACAATTAAATTCAAAAGGTTTTTTTACTTATGGTTTTCATTTTGGATCTTTTTAGTTTATTTATAGAAGTTAAAAGAAACTTGCATATAAATAAACGGGTTATATTCAAGTCATATTCGAATTGAAATTTTAAACCCTAACCTTACTCGTTTAATATTCTACATACTAACCTATTGTCAAGATAATCAATAAAGATGGATTGGAGATGCTAATGAAAAATACATGGTGGCGTGGTTTAGAAGAATTATAGATGATGAATTGCTTATGCAAAAAATGATCAAGAGTCTTTGGAATATTATTTGTCCAAGAAAAGTCAACATCTTGGTATGGAGAACAAGGTTACAATCTTAGTATGGAGAGCAAGGTTACAGACGTTGCCTACAAAGCTCAACCTGGACAAAATCGACGGCGTTTATATTCAATCGACACCTTGCCTTCTTTGTTACAGTAGATATGAACAGAGACACACTTGTTCACGTAGTGCTCAACTATGATTCAGATTCCTTACATACTTCACATGTGGTGGGGCAAAATTCCAATTATTTTCAACTCTATTAAAACATGGTTTCAAATGGACAACAACAGTGCCATCCCCCCCCCCCCCCCCCGCCACCCAAAAAAAAAATGAAGCTTATGTCGTGCTCATGGACACACCATGGGTTATTTGAAAATACTTTAACAATGTCATGAGGAAGAGTCATGATTTCCCGAGTGAGGTGGAACTCTTGGTTTCCAGTTGTATGCATTCACTTGATTTCCCAAGTGAGGTGGAACTCTTGCAGGTTCTTGAATGCATTCACTTGTATTTCCATGTACTCTTTGTTTATGTCTTGACTTAGACTTACTACTCTTGTTTGCCCCTTTAGTGGTAGGAGTGAGAAAATGGAGCAGAAAAACCAGGACCGAGTACATATAATGGTTGGGTTTCGGTTTTTTGGTTCAAAAGTATTTGGTTTCCTTCCGGTTCTTGTTAGGTTTGAGTGAATGGATTTCAAAATTTGAAACGGACCGGATCCAAAACCGAGTACTTATCCCATTGTTATATCGTGTCAAGTTTCTTCGCCTCCTTGGTTATTCATCTAGGTTATCATATTGCAAGTCACACATTAACACGTGTCTTGTATCTTGTAAAGTTATGCTTAATGGGTTTTACAATAATGGAGATATGGATTTTGTTGTTTTGGTTCTTTGAATCCATGACAATGAAGGATGTTTTTATTCATAGACTACTATTGTAAATGGGTACACCAAGAAAGCATGACACGAAATTGCAATTTAGTTTTTTCAAAGGAGTTTAACCTATTTGTACATTCTGTGAAACCTAATAAAGCCACATAAGTTAGTGCTCTTTTTTTGCTTGGAGGGTTGTTACAAGCAAAGACATAGGTATATCATCAAGAACCAGAATCAAATAAGTTCTTTCATTGGTACATCATTGATATCTTTCACAATATGCGACAAAAGTATTTGGACGCTTAATTAGTAAAAAAGGAAATATGTACATGGAATGCAATGATGGATACTTTAATTTAGCTTCACATGGAGATTGAAGGGTGTCATCCAAATTAGCCATATTAATCTTTGATAACAAATGCTAGAAGTAAATTAGAGTAAAGAAAAAAATGAATATAATCAACCCACAAATGGCATTTAACTCTTATAGTAAGAAAAGTCACAAGAAAGTAAAGATGAACTCATGAAAGAAACATGGTTGCCATAATAGGAAAAAGGCATGGAGTCAATCAAGAAAGAAACAAAAAAGCAGACAGATTAAGAAATCACTCACTCGTTCCAAATAAATGAGCTTTTTCCCTTGGTAAATTAACAAAGGCAAAAAAAAGCTCATTTAATTTGATACAAAAGGAGTAATGGTGATTCATGTTGATTAACCTCCATTTCCACCATCTTTCTTCTCAAAAAGAAAAAGATTATTGTATGCATCATCTTTTGCTCTGTTCACTGCAATCACCTTCTTCAACTTGTATTTTCCCCTTCCAATCAACTCATTCTCTATGTAAATTTAAATTTCCCCTGTTTTACTCCACAAATCTTTCTCTTGTGCTTTCACCCCCATCTTCTGACAAGCTTCATTGAATTTTGCTACAGGATGCAGCTTCAAGTTTTCCGGCGTGATTAGGGGTTATAACAACCGCTCCACCACCCGAAAAAAACCCCAAGATTTGAGTTTACACCACCATCACTATCACCATTCATAAAGACAATATATATATATATATATATATATATATATATATATATATATGTATATTGTCTTTATGAATGGTGATAGTGATGGTGGTGTAAACTCAAATCTTGGTGTATATTCTACAACTTCTAACCCATCATGAGAAGGGGACCTAAGAATTAATACCAAGAAATTTTGATGGATGCAACTGCAAGTAATTAATTGCCTCCCATGTAGAATCCATTGACGAGTCTGTATCGATGAAGATGGCACCGATTAGTGACTCCAAAAGATCAGCAAGCACTTTGGGTGGATCAATCATACCATGTGAATGCGATGGGTATTGTTCGATCCCTTCCATGAATTCTTGGATCTGATCACTCTCAAAAAAACTATAAGAATCGAATCACTCAAATTTGTAATTAAGAATAGTGGAACAAAAAACTAAAAAGTGATAAAAGATTATTCGATCAAATTTGTGATTATTCATCTCTGATAACAAAAAACATCATTAACGATTAATTGGAGAAGTAGTCATGAACATCTCATGTGATTGAGATATATTTAGCAGATAAATCATGGGGCAGAAACTGAAAACGAAAATTACCTGTCGTTGAAGAAGAGGTTTCTGGTGGCGAAGAAACTTATGCAAATTGTATTTCAATGCCGCCCTTGCTAGCGCCTCCGTGTCAACATTGGCGGCACGTAACCGAGTCAACTCACCAGGAGCCATATCAGGATACGATAAATAATGTAGCTTAGCAATTAAATGATTCAAAACTGCCTCACCTAAGTACTCGAGTCGCTCGTAAGATTTGCAGTCATCAGCTTTGTAAGAACCATGAGTGAAAGCCTCCTTCAGTAACTCCTTGTTTCTAAAACTGTATCCCATCACTTCCTCTACCTCCGCCAAACTAGGCGGCGACACATGTGAAGATTCTGACTCCTTCACAGATTCTGAATCAGGTTCTTTCAGAACTTACTCTACAAAATCATGGTTTTTCAGTGAAACGACAATATCTTGATCTTCTTCCATGGCTTCCGGGTTTCTGAATCACTTTTATTATAGGATTCGAGGAATATTATTTCGGAGACGAAATCAACAGAGATAACTTTTGGAGAGAGGTTTTCTTTCGTTCTTGTTGCAGATGATTTGGTTATGGACGAAATTTTGAGGTTTGACTGTGTAACTTGCGAGAGACGTGACGGTGACTCTTGCGATAAAATCATGACAAATATTTATAAGGATATCAATTTTTATCGACATGACTTTGTTTCAAGTCTTTTTTTAATAATAATAATTACAACAAATATTGTTAATAGGTAATCAATTTGTGTATTTATGGTATAGACCGTGAGATACATTAAAATCCAGTATATCGTCATGTTTACCTATCTTTTATTTTATTTATTTTTTTTTTAAAAAAAATACATTTTATACAAATATTATATTCATTTTCTAGGAAACTAAAACCATGAATTTTAATATATTTATTTTTACAATTTTTTAGTACACACACATATATATATATATATACATATATATATATATATATATATATATATATATATATATATATATATATATATATATATATATATATATATAGACACTCAAACACTTTAAACTTACACCCTATACCACACCCATAATGTAGTGTTTCTGGATGCAGTTTAGGCTTCTTTTAAGTTTTACCTTTCCCTCACATACACCGCCCAACCTAAAACCGAAAATTATGTAAGGTTAGATCAATATAATATTTAAGTTCACTAAAATACCATTAATAGAGATCTCATGACATAAACAACTTTTCAATAAATATTATCAAATGATCAACCTAATTATGCCTTAGTTTTTTTTTTTCGATTTAATAACCGTTTGTCCAAAATAAACTACCTTTTCAGAAATTGCTTTAAGATAGTTTTTAACAAATATATGGAGTTTTTTTTAATATTTTAAAAATAACTTGAAGTTTTAATTATATATATTATTTTTTTTTTTTAACATCTTCCGTTCACTTATTTGCATAAAAGACATTTATCTGTCAACTCTAGATATTGATAGTATAACTCTTTAGTATATTCTTTTTTTTCTTTTAGTTATATTTTTAAATATCCATTTATGTCATTTTATATTGCAATCTAGTTTATGAATTATTTTTTACCAAATATTATTAATCTACAAACTAACTTATCAACTTATAAAAAATTAGCTTTTCCGCTAGTTTTCCAAACAAACCCTTAGTGACGAAATCGAATCCGCAAATAATTTGCATATCTCACTAAACTCGTAAAATAACTCTTATTAATATTTCTTAAAGCTTTAACCTTATTTTCTTTGTAACAAACTCTCTGCAACTACCCTCGATTCTTCACATACATTATTCATGTCATGCTTAACTAAAATGAATTTTCTAATATGTACCCTAAGGGTAGGAGTGAGCGTAGTGCAGTTCGATGCGGTTATTGGTTAAAACCTCACAAATAACTGCAAATGCAGTTAATCCATTTTCAAAACTGCTTGGTACGGTTAGGCAGTTATTTTTGCGGTACATTTTTTTGTGTTTCGGTTATTAACCACATGCATTTGATGCAGTTATTTTGTGTAGTTTTTAACCACACTTTAGAGTTAAAATATTTTTAAGAGTTTAAACATATAAAAGTTAAACATAAGAAAAAAATCAACAATTTTGTCTTTTAGAATTTTATCATACTTCAATGAGGTCTTATTTTTAATATTTAATATGTTATTAATAATTAATAAAAAAATGTATATAACATATGCGGTGTCGTGCAGTTTTTTATGGTTTTTGAAAACTAATAACCGCACCGCAACGTAAATTTGCGGTTATTGAAAAAACATAAAACCTCGCCATCGGTTTTTATTGTAGTTGCAGTTTTTGTGGTTAATTTTAATTATGGTGTGGTTTTGGCTCACTCCTATCTAAGGGAACATATAAGAACCATTAATTGAAGTATTAATTATAAGGAATATTACCATAATTAAATATAATAAATATTAAATATAAATAATACTCGTACTTCAATCAATTAATGTTTCTTATATGTGCCCTAAGGGGCACATACTAGAATATTCCTAACTAAACACCAAATTGTGAATAATCCACAAATTACCTCTTTTTACGAAGTCCTGTTTCGTTGTATTTTATGAGTGGTAAAAATTTCAACAAAATGAATCACTCTTTCATAAAATATATCAATGGTGTATACATTGTTCAAAAATATTATTTTCTATAATAACAACTACGAAAACTACTAACCAACACATTTTCAAACTTTTTACTTTTATACACCTAGTCCTTCCTTAAGTGGTTCGACATGTTCGAGGTTAATCGTCAACTATGCAAATCTATGTTTATTACTGATCATATTGATTCCATAAAAATATGTTGGAGAAATTTTAGGCATTGCAAAAATTAATGTTGTTATATATGTATATATGAATCTCATTTGCACATTATGTTCTTGAGTTGCATTGTGTGGGTCATCGTTAAGCATCTAAACACCATATGTTATCGTCAAAGTCTAGCACCTCTACCTCTCTTGGGTGATACCAGAGACACATATACTACTCCACATTAGTCGTTACTATCTTTTTCTACGATATTACATTTTTGCTATATATATATATATATATATATATATATATATATATATATATATATATATATATATATATATATATATATATATATATATATATATATATATATATATATAATTGTTCTTCACGAGGATCGTACTACTACAAAAAGAGTTCGTAGCTAATTAGCTACGGATCAGCTCGAGAATGGGAAGTCCAAATATAGTAACGGAATAGCTACGGAATAACTACAAAATAGCTATGGACGTTAAACCATTGCTATTCTGTACCTAATTAACACTGGAATATGTACGGACTAGTGACGGAAGAAAATAGCTACAGAATAGCTACGACGTACCGACGGATTTATAATTTCCATTATTATTATTATTACTCCCATTATTATTATTTTTTCATTATTCGACTCTATAATTTTTTATTTTGATCATTTTTCTTACATATTTAAGACACAAACAATTAAAAAATCATACTAATAATACTATTAATAATAATATTTATAAACATCATAATAATATATAATGATTGTAACAAATGTGTTAACACACAAACAAGCAATAATACAAAAAAATAAATAAACCACGTTTAACAGATCAATAAGGTGAAATAATCTATGTTTAATTTATAAATAATGAAAACTGATCATAATAAAGGGAAATATGTATATTTGTATGTGTATGTATGTATTTATGTATCTATGTATGTATGTGTATGTAAGTACATATGTGTATGTGTGTATTTTGAATGTGTATGTGTTTGTGTATGTTTATGTTTATCTATGTGTGTACGTGTCAACACGTATGCATATCAAAAATCGCAAATATTAATGAGTATTACAATATTAAACCATTAATATAGTAATAGATCTTGAAGGTGCACACAACTTTATGAACGATAAAAATAGCTATAAGTTGATAAAAAATATAGATAATCATGTATAATAGAAGTGTGAAGAAAAACAAAGCGAAAATTACGATGTTTGGTGCCGGAAAAATCGGAAAAATAAAAATCATAGTTAGTCCGTAGCAAATTAGCTACGGATTAACTATAGACTTTTATTATTTTCGAATTTTCGGGCACCAGACGTCGTTTTTTCCACTTCGTTTTTCCAAACCTCTATTTTACATTATCATCTATATGTTCACCAACGTATAGCTATTAATATTGTTCATAAAGTCATGTTCACATTCGGGATAAGTACTCGTTTCACGTTTTAACATTGTAATGTCTATAATTTTCACCAACTTGTTATGGGTTTATGTTCGTATATGTATACTTATTTACATGAATGAGTTGTGGTATAAGTGTACGTGCATATGTGTATGTATACGTGTGTGACAACCCGATAGTTTGAGACAATGTAATGTAAAACCAATCAAATTTAGGTCAAAATATAACTTTCCTAAAATCTTATTTGGGTTAAATAAAGTAGTAGGAATCGTATCAAGGTTTTCGTACATATAAAGAACCCTAAAATCCGAGTTATAACGAAGAAGTTATGACCAACCGAAGATTCTCGGCAACACCGATTAAACGAAAAACGCGAAGTTTCAATACAATAGTTTTTAGCCTTAAGTAGCTAAATGAAAGTTATAGATAACCTCAAACGGTGAGAGTACATAAAAAAGAACGTCCAAATCTGACTTCGTATGAGAAAGTTATGATTTTTCCAAGATTCGGGTATAGCAGTAGACAACTAAAAACTCGAAATAGAGCTCAAGATACTTTTGACCAAAACAACCTAAATGAGAATCTAAGGTCTCAACATTAGTAGTGCAACGATGAAAAGTCTGACGAAAACGGACATCGGATGAAGAAGTTATGGATTTATAACGGAATTATCACGTCCCGGCCCGTTAAAAATAAATAATTAAAAATAAAGTCAGAATTTGCCTATGAAGTCTAAACGAGAGTTGTATATCATGTTTTTAGCTACGCGTGCATATAAAGAACGTCAAAAACGGAGCTCGTACACGAAAGTTATGGATTTTACAAGTTCGAGGTCCGAAATCCGAGGCTGTCAGGCTTGCCACGACGTGGCACAAGCTTGCCGCGACCCGGCAAGTGACTGAGGGCGTCCAATCAATGGAAGAGGATAAGTTTGACTCCCCACGACGTGGCCATCACTTGCCACGACGTGGCACACCCAAAAACGCCCCTATAAGTAGATTTCAAGGGTTCCGAGCTCCATTGCTCAGTTCCTTTCTTTCTCGCGCCGAAACTCTGCGTTTAAGCCCCCGAGACCCTCCCAAAGCCCCGGTTTTCACCTTCAAGTCCCGAAGGAAGGTTTTGTGTTCCCGAGATTCCTGAGATTCCCGAGAATCCCGAGATTTTCCCGCGTTTTCAACTCTTCCTGTCAAAGTTCTGCTCGATTCTTCTCTAGACTATTTCAAATCAACCACTTCAATCAAGTGAGTTCATACCCCTTAACTAATGTTTTAAACTACTTTTAAATGTTTAATGGGGGGGGGAATACAAGTAGAATCATGCTAGTATTATATCAATCACATGTGATTAATAAGTAGAATTACGCTAGTTATTACATCAATCACATGTGATTAATATACAGCATTCAAAAGATTTGGCTACTCATTAGCCGTTTTACCAA